CCACGCTAAGTCCCAATTTGGGGCTTCATGACTTCATTCTGGCTCACTGCTGCCTACCACTTCTCCCTTCCACTGGCTAAATGCTGCTTTTCTTGTACAACAAGCCAGTAACCTATTATGTCTCAGATCAAACAACTCTAAGAATAGCAGGTGTCAAGATCTGTGCCAAGGGAAGGAACTGGCTCTGAGTGCATGTGGTCACATGGGGAAGCAACAAAGTAAGGAAATTTAGGAGGCATTTGATTAATACTCTTAATTAAGAGGTTCCCATCACTGGCTTCCAGAAACCTCCTGGGCTGACTTCACTGAGTTTCTGGGGGTGTCTCTCTGGGTCAGGATAAATTTGTGATGAGATTTGCTTTCCAGCAGCCAAGAGGAGGGTGTTCCTGTTACAGGGAGGGGTTAGAACTGGGGCAGGGGTCGGGGGTGGACACAGTTTTGAGTTGGTCCTAAAAGGCAGGGAAAGCCAGAGTAATAATAGCTATCCCAGACTGAGGGCCTACTATGTGCCAGACTTTGCATCATATCTTTATATACATTACCTTTTACTCCTAATATCGCCACTACTACTGCACAGTACATTTACTGAGCATTTATTATGTGCCAAGTACTGTTCTCTGTGTTTTTCATGGATTACCTTATCCTAGCCCTTACGACTGTATGTGCTAAATACTTTTTATTTCTATCTCTTAGGTAAAGCAAATGGAATAAATAACTCATTGAAAACCATGTCTCCAGATCCTGGAGGCAGCAAGGGCAGAGCTTGGATTATAACCCAGGCTTTCTGAGGGTAGAGTCCCAGTCACTGCCTCACGATCTCATTTAGCTCCCAGGAGTAGCTCTTGCTTTTGTGCAACTTAGAGTTGATTACAGAGTCATCGAGGCTGTGATCTGCCAAGGACACGCAGGACCTTCTGGGGTTCTCAAAGGGCACAGTTGAAACGTTCGCCGCCATCTTGAATGCTGAGGGTGGGCTACCTGTGCCCAGCAGTCTCCTCCCCTCCTTCCCGAAAGTCCCCCGGGCCCTTTCCCTTATTATATTTATCCTTTCCCAGGCATCTCTCACACAATCTGGAGAAAAACTTGTGTTTTTATGAGCTTATTACTGTGTTCCCGCCAGCTTCAGAGCCCGGCATGAGTCCCAATCTCTCCACCTGCCTGATTTCTCCTTCCTTTGGCTCCTTTTAGCCTACTAGAGTCCTGCTTCACGCATAACAGACCCGCTTGGGGCTTTGATGCCACCTTTCACATGATGTAGAATATTCCCTGTGCATAGACTCTTGCTATAGGGCCCCACTCTCTGCAATAGCAGCTTTGAGACCTGAGCCTGCTGGGGCTGGTTCAGCTAGCTCTAAGCCCTCCTCTGGGGGACCAGTGCCTCACCTCGCCTGGGACACTCCTCTTTGTTGACCCTTCCAGGCCTACATTTCCCATCTTCCTGATCCTAGTTCAAATGGTTTGTGATATTTTTCAACTGAAAGATTTTATTACCCTTGGATGAACTCCAGAAATGTATTATCATTTCAAAACGGAGTCTCTGTATTGTAGAAAAGGAATATATGTGACAGATACACCAGGAATGGTCTGGGGCCAGAATTTCCTCTGAAGCTCAACAATGAAGAGATAGATATCTGGAGACACAGATTTCCTTCACTCCATTTTTCCTTTGAAAATATTCTTGACAAGTATGTGCTGGCACCCAGCACACCTTAGTGCTTCTCTCTGCCACATATGGTGTGGAAGGGTTCCGGACTTAACGGAGGGTCTGAGCAGAGGCACAATGACGTACATACAAATGCTGTGCTCTGGAACTGTGATTATCCTAAAGGAGACCGATCCCTGCGATAGAGGTGGAAGCCTGGTCAGATTATGGAGGAAGCACACTTCTGATTTTTCTTTCTATATTGCTCAGTAAAAACACTTAAAATAAATTGCTGGGCAGATGCGACACCTACACATAAGTTTTAAGGAACTCGAGGATAAAATTTTGAAACATTGGCTGAAACATCTGATTGCACGAGGAATTTTGCAGGTAGAGAAAGAGATGGAAATGTTACTAAAAATAAAGAAACCATTTAATGGGATTAACTCACCCTGGGTTGAAATGACCTTGGCAATCACAATGGCACTGGTAAAGTTCCCCTTCACCCCCAGCTGGCAATATAGACCAGAATTCGTACCAAAAGCCTCTTGCAATGGGAGTTCATCCAATCAGGAAAAGTAACGGGTGTCATTGACATGGGACATTGCTTCCTGATGAAAGAGAAAATGAGAGCTGGGTCAGTAAAGGATTAAAATGAAAGGAAGCTGACATTTTTAAGCGCTAAGCTGGAACATTTGGATGAATTGTCATCTTCTCTCTGGGTAAAATTCTTCCTCACTCTCTGATGAGGGTAATTGAAATGACCACCCTCCCCAGTGGGCAGTCCTAGAGTCACATTGACCATTCTTAATCATAAATTTCTCATTTTCTTGGGCTGTCACAGAGCCACATATCGTGGGTTATCTTGCTTGATTTATATTTTAACCTCCTCTGTCATACACAAGAAACACCCTCGACTAATCAGCAACACATTCTTAGAGCTTACGATTACTTCTGCAGATGGTAATCTCATCTGCTTCACGGGGCTTCCCTTTGCTTTAGTTTTGGAGGGTGACTCAGTAAAAAAGAAAATTGCATTGTTTACTTCTTAGTGTATGAGCCATACGCATTTGATGTAGAAAATTCGAATGTAAACATAAAGAAAACACCCAAATCTTCTATAGTTTATATATATAAACATATTGTGCATAGCGTCTGATAAGTTACTTTTGATAAACAACTTAAAAATCTGTGCAATTAAATACTTAGACATGAGACGTTTTAAATAGCTGTATAGTAGTATGATCAGTGCATCATCCCTGTTCACTTAACGAATCCCATTGTGTTGAATATTTAGGATTTTTAGGTTAGAAATTTTGCTGCAATGAAGGTCCTTGTTTATTTTTATTGACATTTCCACTCACCCGTGGTTATTTTCAGAAGGTAAGTTTTCTACATGTGGAATCGCTGGGCCAATCAATGTGTGTATTTTAAGGCTTTTGCTAGATATTGTCAAGCTGATCTCTTGGAAGGTGGTACACTGTATTTCTGAATGCGTTGTTGAGGCTGCATGTTTCCTAGATGAAATGTGACCTTTTATGACTTTGTCTCCAAATTATAAGACTTTTCAGATTTTACACCTATGAATTATTTTATAAAAATAGTGAATTTCCAATATGACTTCTGCGCATGTTAGTAGCTAAGTTTGTTAGTCAAGTGAATGTTGGATAGAGCAGCACCAAATTCAAAGTCATTAGTACAATGGAAAACATGGAATATCAATTTAGATGACTTGGCTTTGAATTCTGACTCTATGATCTGAAAGAGGTAAGCTTCCATTTTCTCATCTGTAAAATGAGGACCCACACTGTCCTGTCTATCAGTGTGTGAAGTAGACCATGTGGTCTGAATGTGGTTGATTCCATTCCCACTTAGAGGAGTAGGCTTTTGTTATGTTTTATTGTTGTTGTTGTTTTATAGATTTATTTTCAAAGGGCACAAACACTTAGACAATTTTTTAAAATATATTTTTATTGATTTTTTACAGAGAGGAAAGGAGAGAGATAGAGAGTCAGAAACATCAATGAGAGAGAAACATCAACCAGCTGCCTCCTGCACACCTCCCACTGGGGATGTGCCCGCAACCAAGGTACATGCCCTTGACCAGAATCGAACTGGGACCTTTCAGTCCACAGGCTGACGCTCTATCCACTGAGCCAAACCGGTCTTGGCGACAATTTAAATACAAGTGTAAACAGAATTGCTCTGTCGATGTCAGCAATGATGCCAAAACACGCTCTGGTGGCCAGACACTCGCCTGTATCTTCGCGTCTCCTCTCGGTGAAGAGAAGGGTCTCATACTCTATTCATACATAACCTTCTTATCTGCAATGTAATCTATAATTTCTTGTGGGCAATCATTTTCTCCGCATCTATATCAGGAATTTCAAACCCAAATTTATCCTCTAGAGCCATGATGATCTCCACTTGGTCCAAATTGTCTAAACCCAGGTCTTTCATAAAATGGGAACTTACTAAGAGCAGCTCTGGACCAATCCTGTCGTAGTGTCAAGACATAAAGAACACCGTCCTTGATCCCCTCTAACATCAGAGGGCACGTCACTATAGTGGTGGCACAGCTGTGTAACTGCCTGGTACCTGCTCCAGCACGGACCTGGGAGCCCTGGGCCTCACTGGGTTCCCGTGGGGCGCAGCATGGTGCTGGGCGGCCGGGCTGTGGCCAACGTGGGAAGCTGGGGCAGCGACACCAAGGCCGCAGGTAGGCAGTGGACACAGGTGGAAAGGACATGAGCTGCCATGGCTACGCCGACCTCAGGGAGTAAGATCTGATTGATATAAACCCAAAAGGTCAATCCTATCCAATACCTTGCCTAATAACTGGGTCAGAGATGAGCATCCCAGTTTAAATCAATCATCATATAGCATTTGCAATAGTAGATTATATTCAAACTATATCAAGGTCATTCCATCTGGACTCTCCTACCGAAGGATTTTACTTCCCATCCTGCTGGCAACAGGCTGAGGCAATGACTTTCTTTGCCCTTCAACATGTGGGTGGAAATTACATGTGCCACTTCCAAGTGGAAATTTTAAGAGCCAGCATGTGGTTTTGCCATCATCCTTTCCCTCGCCACAGATTAACATGCCCTAGAAACGTGTGTGCCTTTGGTCTTACTCCCAGAAGGAAGGGGACATGGATGAAGTCTCGCTTGTTTTCTAACAGCCTATGTGCAAGTTGAGCGAAAAATAAAACGTTGTTGCTTTGCAAACCACTGGGGTTTTTAGGGTCATTTGTCACCACAGCACAGCTTAGCGTAGGCTGATTCATACACCGTTTCTTGGGTCTGAGTGAACATTTTGCAAGAGTGTGTGCCTAACCTCATTTTGTCTGTTACAGGTGAAGCTCAAGGCATTTTTGATTCGTCTGGGAGAAGAGGCACTGCCTCTTTCTTTGGGTGCTGTGATAGATGGTGGTGTCACCAGGAACTGATATAGCGTTTTGTTACTGTATGATAGAAACCGGTTAGAGGACAAAACAAACAGATAAGAATAACACCAAGAAAACTGCAGAGAAATGGAACCAGAGCCCTAATCTTAAATCAATGCCTGAAGTTGACAGACCTTTGAACTCTGCAGTGAAGGAACCAGAAATGAGACATTCCCTGTGCCTTTTAAGCTACTTTGAGTTGAATTTTCTTCTATTCGCAACCCAGAGCATCAGGGCCGATTCAGCAGAACACAATTTGGGAAGCATGAGAACAGGGCAGCACCAAGAGGTGAGACTTTCTGACACGTGGGTGTGCTACTTACTGGTGGTTGAAAGAGGCCACAGGTGGAATTTGGAAGAGCTCCGGGAGGTCAGGAATCCTGGCATTAGGGTGCAATCTGCTTATTCCACTGCGAGGTAGAAGCTGAAAACTGGATGGCCGGTGTGAAGAGATCGGCACTGGTTTCACACCCACCGATTTCTGGTTTCCCAACTCCATACAGGATTCTCCTTGTTTTTACAGGCCTAGTCGAGCTTTTCCCTGCCCAGCTGACCCTCCAGGACTTCAAACACTGACTGGTACTCAGATGTCTATTTCCAGCCTGCCCTCTCTGTCAGGGTTTATACTTTTACCAGGGAGGGCTCTTCCTGGATTTATCACTTGACTGGTAGGGGGCTTACTTAATTAGCATTTGTAAGAGGCCCAGCTCTTTATTGGATTAGGGGTAATTAGGAAAGCAGAGCCAAGAGCTTTTTATTACCTTCCTCTCTGCTGGTCTTTTTCCTGCCTCTTCTGGAGAAACTGGCATTGATGTTGACTTAAATGAACTTGAACTTGTTATGCTGTCTCCTTTCATTTTTCATGAAATGGATTCAGAGGTCTCCCAGGTCCCACAAGAGAAACACTTTCCAAGGATCAGTCGATTCTCCTATCTGGTAGGCAAATTCAATGGTGATAAATAATGCAGGTTTGTAATCTCCATAAAGGGCAAAGTGTTTGCAAGCCACAGGTCAAATCTGCTGGACTCTTACAGCTTTCTCTTACAAGAAATTCCTCTCCGCTAGTCACTTGGCACATCTTACTTAGTAAGTTCCTCCCCACAGATAATTCCGTGTGCCCTAAAAATGATAGAATTTAAATGTTATGTTCTTTTTAATTTTTTTTTCACATCTTGTTTGAAATTTTTTTTGGCCCTGCTTTTCTTATTTTACCACCTAAAACAGCGGTTCTCAACCTGTGGGTTGCAACCCCTTTGGCGGTCAAACGACCCTTTCACAGGGGTCACCTAAGACCATCCTGCATATCAGATATTTACATTATGATTCATAACAGTAGCAACATTATAGTTATGAAGTAGCAATGAAAATAATTTTATGGTTGGGTTACAAGATGAGGAACTGTATTTAAAGGGCCAGAAGGTTGAGAACCACTGACCTAGAAGATGTTAGGAGCTGAATTTGGGTGCTAATAACAGAAACCTGAAATAACATGATTTAACAAGATGGAGATTTCTTTTTCTCTTAATTATAGGCAGCCTGGCATTGTTACAGTGGTCCTAGGATACAATCCATGTCCTAGGCCTCTTCTATCCCTTTGTTCTGTCATCATTGGCATGTGACTTCCATCTTCAAGGTGCAACATGGCCACTGTGGCTCCATATATCAAGTTTATATCCCAGGCAGGAAGAAAGAGGAAAGGGAAAAAAGCAAAAGAACCTCCTAACTTAGTACCCCTCCTGATAGCCTTATCCAGAACCTAGTTACCTTACTCCTATCTCAAGGTGAGGCTTGAAAAATTCGTTTGGCAATAGGACACGTTGATGCCTCTAACAGGATCAGGTTTATTAAGGAAGAAGTAATGATGGGCCGTAACCGGTTTGGCTCAGTGGATAGAGCGTCAGCCTGCGGACTGAAAGGTCCCAGGTTTGATTCCGGTCAAGGGCATGTATCTTGGTTGCGGGCACATCCCCAGTAGGGAGTGTGCAGGTGGCAGCTGATCGATGTTTCAACTCTCTATCCCTCTCCCTTCCTCTCTGTAAAAAAATCAACAAAATATATTTTTTTTAAAAAAAGAAGTAATGATCGATAAAGGGTAGGCCATTCTCAGCTTCTAGCTTACAGCATTCCTAGCAAAATGTCTTAAATAATCATCTCACTCATATTTATATTGTGTGTTGGGTTGTCAGAACAAACCCCTCCAGTGGTCATTGCCTCTGAGGACCTCTGTGACTTACGAGAACACGGAGACTATTTTATATGAAAGAATATTAGAGAATCCTTATCTGCCACCTGGTACCCAGCCATGACCCATGGACAATAGATGCAGAGGGAAAAGCCTTCTCAACAATTTTAATAAGTTGCACATTGTCCTCACTTCCCAGCTGCCTTCCAGGAGGCTCACCTGCAACTTCTCTGGAGTGAAAGGGACAGAACATGCCGTTCTGGCGCTCGCCGTGCAGGAGCCCTGTCCAATCTCTTGCTCTTCCAATCGGACCTCTGTCCCCTCCAGTGGATTCAGCAGTGCTTTTTAAAAGTGAGCTGCTTAATTTGTTAGATATCAATTGGAATGCATCCCAACAGGGGATGCAGGAGGCCGCTTACGGAATTCTAGACGTGGGGCAACAACAATAACAACAAACGATACTCATTGTGCAAGGATCTGGCCATTGGCTATCTTCAAAATCTTCCTGCTTTAGAGAGATAATGACAGATGGCTGTGGAGAGGGGCAAGTGTAGGTAAGACACTGGACAATTTCCAAGTTCAATGTAAGGAAAATACCCAGCCGATAGCAGTAGCAGGAGCTCAGTCAATGTTCATTTCCTTCTGTGCTCTTTGTGGTTCTGGGGTGAGGACATTTAGAAACTGCCAGGGAGAACATCTCGCAAAGGCATTTGTTCTCAACTCATTTTTGTACTATATCCAGAAATAAGGAGAGAAACTGAAGCAAGAATGCTGAGAACTTTATCATAGCAAGGGTTGGAAATCATCTTTTTGGGACTAACCACTTAGTATTTGTGGGTTTGACCTTATTGGAAGCTATTTCCATCAGCAAAATGCAGCTTCCTTCTCTGCCACCACCCACTTCTTGCCCTGTCTTGCCTCCATCAACTGTTGTTCTCAGAGGGCAGGAAGCAGAACTAATACACCCTTTGAATCACTTCTGGTGTCTGTTAACTAGCTTGTGGCTCAAGTGTGTGGAGATGACATTCTTCTGATGTCTCTTTGTCCTTGTCTTCTGCTGATGCTGTCTTAGAGCAGCCACAGTATGCAAAGTTCAGTGTCATTGCTTAAGGAGAGCATATAGAACCTAAATTTCATGTCTCCCCTGCAACATATGCTGTTCATTAAAGGCAGATTCTAAAGATTGCATTTGGTAGATGCGTTGTCACACTGGAGAGAACTAAAAACATCCCCTAAATGTATTTCAGCTTCTTGCCAATTATTCTATAGTTGAGTGAAAGTAGTAACTAAAGGTTGTATGCCACATTTAACATAGGGGATAAAGACGCTGCTTGATATCCTTCTGTGTGTTCCCTACTCTGGAGAAATTCTCAGCTCCCTTGCATAGCCTCTACAACCTTTTGTGATCTGATCTCTGGTCATCCACCTTTTTAGCCTCACATTTTATCACCTTCTAATATGTATCTTATAATCTAACTATATCAAGCAAATAACAATAATGATATTTGGGGGCCAGCATCTATACAGAAACACATAGCATTAACTCTATTTAGCTCAAAGTGGGAATTTCTGGAAATGGGATTGCTGGGTAAATTAAGGTCTGTGGGGCATACTCCTTTGATATGCTGGCATACATTGCCCATTGGCTATTGCTGTTCCATTCTTTTCAAATTCCTTGAAACCATCCTATGTCTTTTTTTTTTTTTTAAATATATTTTATTGATTTTCCACAGAGAGGAAGGGAGAGAGATAGAGAGCTAGAAACATCGATGAGAGAGAAACATCGACCAGCTGCCTCCTGCACATCTCCCACTGAAGATGTGCCCGCAACCCAGGTACATGCCCTTGACCGGAATCGAACCCGGGACCCTTCAGTCCGCAGGCCGACGCTCTATCCACTGAGCCAAACCGGTTTCGGCAGAAACCATCCTATGTCTTTAATTACAATTTCCCTTAATTCAATTTCTGGTTGATGCTCCTGGGCTGCGGGGATGTCCTTTGTACCTCCCCAGGTCACACCCTGCTTCCAGTTCATCTACATCCTCTGGGCTGCAGCCACTTCCTAGAAGCCTCCTGGAGCACTTGCACTTCAGCCTGGAGATAGACACCTTTCTTTGTCACCCTAGGGGGATCCAGCGCTGTCACCTGCCCGATCTTGATCAGCTATTACGGGTCAGCACTGGTTGCCAGAATGCAAAATAAATGGCAGGAAGGAAATTAACAGCAGGGCAAACTACACACCTTGATGCGTCTCTTCCACACAGCTGGTTCTGGAGCCTCCATTGGTGGAGAACACGCATGTGAGTACAGGGTGTATTGTAATGATTCATTCTATGTAATGTGCTGCAATCATTTCTATGTATATGCAGCATAGCTTAATAAAATGATTTCAAAGACAACTTGATAACAAAGCAGCATTTTAAAGGGGTTTACAGCTATACCATCATTCCCTCATTTAGTTCTTGCCAAAATCCTATAATTTAAATAAATTAGATTAAATACTGTTATTGTAGATGCAGAAACTGAGGCTTGGGATAGCTTAAGTATTTATTTTAGGACGTATAGATCAGAAAAATTCAACCACTATGCCAGGGGTAGCAAACAAACAGCTCTTAGCTTGAAATCAGCCACATTTTTTTGGAGGGGAGGCAGATTTTATTATTATAATGTTAAGGCATTTTAATTCACTGACAATTTCATATACACTCACCCCAACACAAATCTGGATTTTTTGTTGGAATTTTAAAAGATACAGGAGCTCTAGATCCTGCTTAGTGTCAATCACTGGAGCTGTGGAGGGGTTGTTCCCTTGAGCGGAGCATGGTCTCCATGGTTTGCCACAGTCTGCACTACTCTCTCTTGTCTTCCCCGCACCAAGCCCATGCTGCACACTCATATCACCTGCCTGGCTCCCATGGGCCTTTGAGGTTAGGACC